GCCTCCCCCTCGCGCGCGCAGCGCGCCACGGGGCGCGGCGGGCCGCCCCGCCACAGGTCCGCGCAGCCCTCGGGCGGCCCTGCGCCCGGGCCCAGCGCCCAGCAGAGGGCCGCCTCCAGAAGGGCCCACGGGAGACCGGAGGCCTCCCGGATGGGGCCCGAGCAGACGGGGTCGGAGGATTGCGCCGCATCGCCGATGCATCGCCAATGCATCGGCGTTGCATCGGCGATGCATCTGCGGTGTTTGCGACGCATCGGCGCCATCGGCGAGGGAAAGCTCTGGCTCCACATCGAGGGGCATCGTCGATGCATCGGCGATGCGGAGCGATCCTTCGACCCCACCTGCTCGGACCCCATCTGAGAGGCCTAGAGAGACACAAACACATCGGCGCAAGCTCCATGCGAGGCGGGGATGTATCCAGATCCACCGCCTGGGAAGAGACGTCCTGGTGCCCCAGCGGGCGGCGGATACGGATACATTTTGCCCCCCGGGGGCCCGAATATGTCCACATCCACCGCCTCTGGTGGTCCGCGAAGATCAATCCCCCAGGCGGTGGCTATGGACAAAGCCCCGCCTCGGATTCCAGGGTCTCCCCCGCAGTGTTCCACATGCACTGGATTTTGCTCCTCCCCTCCATTTCACATGATCTTCCCATCTTTTCATGACATCCCGGTTCCCAGACATCTGGCTGCTCCAATGTCTTCGATGCGTGGGCCCTGGAGGTCTGGGCCACTTCCCCGGGGCGGGTTTCTCGCCCTGCATCGTTTGCGGGCGGTCCCGGGGCCCGGCGAGGGCCCCTGGGGGCCGAGAACAGCCAAAAGCCGCCTGCTCCAGATTGTGTGGAGCACCGGATCTCTGGCTTCTTCGTGCTGAGCTCGGCACCCCGGGCCTCCAGCGCGCGGCGGCCGAAGCCGCGCGAGGCCGCGAGGCGGACGGTGCGCCTGCCGCCCGAGAGCGCGGCGCCCGCCAACAGGGCGCGCAGCTGCGGCGAGCGCGCCGCCAGCCGCCGGCCGTCGGCGACGGCCACGGCCCCGCCGCCGCCTGGGGCCGGCAGGGGTACCAGGCTGGTTGCGCGATGGCCGACCCCCCCCCCCTCGTCATTGGCCAGGTGCTTACCCAGGCCCCCTCGCGCGGTGACAACAATCACGACGGGAGGTTCTTCGCTGTGTTCGGCCTCTGGGGGCCCCTACCGGGCCTCGGGACCGTCAAAAACCGACTCGGGATGAAGAGCCAGTCCCTGGGAAGGGGTCCAGACCTCTGGGGGTCGAGGTCGTGAAAAAATCACGTTGCGTGATGGCCGACCCCGCCGCCCCCATTTGATTTCAAGTGGCCCAAGGACACACAAACAAATACACACAAATCCTTGGATTTCCTACATATCTCCATATTCTCTGGGTTTTCGTCTTCCCCCCACTTCCCATATTTCCCCATATTTTCCTGGGGATCGACGATTAATTGCATTTGTGTGTTTCTCCTCATGAAAATGGGCAAAGTGCTCAGTGCGAGCGCAAACTGGAAAGTCGCAACCCTTTCTACACATGCCCGTTTACTTCATGCAACGTGCAATCATGCCACCCGGTATGCTGAAAAAACATTCGTGTCAGAGCATCTTGCGACCGCCCCCCACAAAAAAAAAATCAGCGGCGAACGAGGGGGGAAGCGAGAAGGAAAAGGCCTGGTGAAAAGGCGGCGGGGTTTTTCAGAAGCCCTCGCGCCTTCTGAAAGGTTTTCTGCTTGTTCGGGGACTAGTAATAGTAGTAGTAGTAGTAATAATAATAATGATACTAATAATAATAATAATACGAATAATAATAATAGTAACAACAACAACAACTACAATAACAATAATAATCGTCATCATAATAATGAATATATGTATATATATATATATATATATACATATATATATATATATGTATATATAAGAAATAATAATAATAATAATGATAATAATAATATAAAAATATGAATAATATGTGTATATATATAGTATTTTATATATTTCTTACACCAAAAAAATGTCGGGGGGGGGGGGGGGCGAGCCTTCTGAGAAGGCGCGCTCCTTTGCATTTCCCCCCTTGGGCTCGCCGCCGACTGATGGCCGACCCCAACGGAGAGAAACAACAACAACAAAAATGGCTGCACACGCTGGACATCCATATATATTGACGTGCGATCCTGCTCGGCAACCGACCAGCCCGAATGCATCACACTCCCTACACGAGGACTTGAGCACCACGCTTGCCCGAATCGGGCGCTGACCCTCGAAAATCCCGGTGATCCTCCGAAACTTCGTTCTGCACTGCCGACTCGCCCAAGACTGCCTGACAACTCTCGGTCGCGACACTGCTCATCATGAGCCACGTCTACATCGCAGAGCGGGGGGGGTCTGGGAACGGGGGCCTCACCCCTTTGGCGAAAGCCTTGCCACAAATTGCAGCCGCCGCGATCGCCGCGGCGACCTCTTAAACCGACCTGGAGCTTCGGCTTGGCTCGAGGCCGGAGGTCGCTCCACGACGAGCAGAACCGCTCCGGGCCACGACCCGCAACACTCCAGGGGAGCGGGCGAACGTGCGGGCCCGCGCCGTGCGCCTGGGGCAGCGGTGAACGCCAGGCCGCCTTGAGCAAGGAAGGGCCACACCCTGGAAGCGAGCGAGCGGCTCGAGACACTCCTGGGCCAGTGCCGTCGGCCTGTCCTCCCCAACCTCGGTCGACCCTCGGCGGCTAGGCACGGTAACTGCGCTGGCGGAGAGCTAACTAAGCAGCGGCACCAGTTCAGCGAAGCGCGCCACACTGCAGGGAGAAGGGGACAGGACAGAAGAAACTGCCGAAGGAGGGGGGGGAAAGAGGAGCGAAGCCGCTCAGGGGGACGGGTCACGCCCAGAGCGCGTGGTGCGGCTGGCCCCGCCGGCAGGGTCCGCGGCGGCTGCTGCACCACCAAGGGGCCGCCGGCGGCGGGGCGCAGTGTGGTCACTGGAACCTGCCCAGTGGGATAGGGTGCGAGCGGTCCATGCGGAGACAACACCTTGTGGCAGCACGTCCCCCAGGTCGGGGGCTGGGGTGGTTGCCCAGCAAAATGTTGGGTCGCGGGCGGCGGGCGACAAGACCAGGCCCGGAGCGCCAGCGAGGCGGCTGCGAGCAGCCCGACAGCGCCGTGCCGGCGCGCGGAGGGTGAACAGGGAGGAAGACGCCCCGCCTGGGAGACCCACAGGCGGGGCAGCAGCGCCGGGCGGCAGCAGCGGCGCCGAGCACCACCGGCGCAGGGGGGCACCTGGAGGGCTGCGAAGCCTGGGGCGCCGGCAACGTGCCTGCGCCCCGCGGGGTCAGCGGGAGGGCTGCCGGAGCCTGGGAGACCCACAGCCGCTGACTGGCCGGCCTCCAGTCGGCGCCCAGCGGGGGCAACGGAAGGGCACCGTGTGCCGGGCAGGACAAGGTCCCGCCGCGAGCGGGGCCGGCAAGAGGAGCGCGGCACGGGTAAAGCCGCCCAGGGGGGCGGGGGGCGGCGGGGGCGGCCCACGGGCGAGGGGCGAGGGGCGGGCAGCACCTGGCCAGCGCGTGTCGAGATGAAAGTGAGAATTGGCCCCCTGCCGGGGTGGACACGGTGGTGTCAAGGGGGTACAAGGAGCCAACCACCGTCAAGTGGAACGGTTGTGAGCGCTCCTTGGTCAGCAAAACTGTGGCCGAAGCCAGCGCCTCCGGCCCAGTGGACGAGGGAAGGGAGCGGTGAGGGGCACCGAACAGGTGCAGAGTGGTAAAAATGGGAAACGGCCCCCCCTGCCCAGGTGGACAGGGTGGGCCGTGGGGGGGAAGGAGGAGGGAGACCACCGCCGTCAGGTTGACAGCGGCGGGCGCGCCTGGAAGGGCCAAAACTGCGGCCGAAGCCAGCGCCCCAAGTCCGAGCGGACAGAGGGGCGTGCAAGGGGGGCACCAGACCATTGCGCAGCGACGAGGAAGAGGACGCTGCCCCCCGGCCCGGGTGGACAGGGTGGGCATCCCACGCACACACACACACACACACACACACACACACGCTTCCTCCAGAACTGCAGACACAGCTACCACTTCCATCCTCAGCCCTTGCTCCCCACCTCTCCCTCCGACGATGATGTCGACAGACGTGTCCTCTCCTCTGCAAGACTGTTTGTAGAATAGTCACGGGACGCCTCAAGGTGCCCGACAAGAAGGCCACTGAACACGAGGGCAGTGAAGGGCACAGATGACCCCGAGACAACAGAGGAGGAGGATCGAGAGTTGAGGATGAGGATCCAATGCTTCGCAAGCGTTCTGGTAATTATTCTACCCCTGGGGGCCTACACTCACCTCTGAAGGCCTCCAGAGAGCAAGACCTCTGAAACTGGAAAAAATCGACCTGGAGGACGTTCGCAAGTGTGATTGTCGTCCAGATGCCGCGTTCGTGCCCAGGCCCGTCAAAAACATGTCAGCGTGGAAGAATGGCCCAGGGAAGGGGTCCGGAGCTCTGGGGAGTCACGACTCGAACAAATCGAGTCGGCGGGCTTGGGACGAAACTGCCCTTGAGATGCCGAAGTATTGCGCTGCCCGACAAAGGCGTCAAGAGGACACATCTCTGTCCGAAAGCACATGAACATCCTGCGTTTTGAAGATCGGTGGCCAAACGTACATATTTCAGCCCCTCTTGATGATGTGTCCAGAGTTGCCAGACACCAGACATTGCGCAGGTGCCCCCTGTGGAGGCTTTCGCTGCTTCTTTATGAGCAGGAGGAAACCGCGGCGTGGGGACGGAAGTTGAAACTGCTTTTGGGCAAGCCAAGGAGAAGGACTACCAGCTCGCCGTCGTAGCCCTGTGACCCCAGAAGACAGGGCGTACCCGCACGCCGAAGAGCCCTTTATATATATCTATATATATATACAAATAAAAATATATATTTAAAAAAAAAAAAAAAAAAAAAAAAAAAAAAAAAAAAAAAAAAAAAAAAAAAAAAAAAAAAAAAAAAAAAAAAAAAAAAAAAAAAAAACGTTCTGCGCTGCCCACGCTAGTACGCTGCGGATGTACGACGCAGACTCGCCATCCGCTTTCGTTGCTAGACGTCGCAAGGAAAAAGGAACGACTAGACGCGAGCGCGTACGAGAGAAGAGGAAGGGGAGGGGGAAGGGAAGGAGTGGAGCTGGCGCTCCCCAGAGCGGTCCCTGAAATCCCCCGACTGAATGCTGCAAAGGAGTGAAGCAGGAGCTGGTGGAAGATCGGGGAGAAAGAGGCCCCTGACACGTCGCATCGTGGGCGCTCTGGGAAAGAAACCAAGCACACAGTTGTGCTCATTTCTGCGCGCACGCACTCAAACAAGCCACCAAACGAACCAACAAGCCGAGGAAGAGGGGAAGTCACTAAGATTAGGTCGGGCATGTCCCCCATACAGGGGGACTTAGGGGGAAAAATGAAAAACACTCAGAAAAACATCCCGAAAAGTCCACAAAATACTCCAATAATCGTCCCCAGACCATTCTTGGACTATTATTGAATATTCCTCCAGTAGAGGGACAGGCCCGACTTACCACTAAAAAAACACCGCACGCAGAATAAAGAAGTTCGGAGCCATCGAACCCGCGCCGCCGCCTGCTCTCTCTCTCTCTCTCTCGAGCCGCGCTGACCCCCGCGCTGCCCCCGGAGAGACCCGGCAGCGGGCGGCGCCCGTCGTGCTTTCCACAGGACGCCCAGCCTCCTCCTCCTCCTCCTCCTCCTCCTCCTCCTCCTCCTCCTCCTCCTCCTCCTCCTCCTCCTCCTCCTCCTCCTCCTCCCCCTCCCCCTCCTCATCCTCCTCACCCTCCCCCTCCTACTCCCCCTCCCCCTCCCCCTCCCCCTCCTGTTCCTTAAAAACAACTTCTCCCTGTCGCACCCCGAGGTCAGTTTTTAAGGCAAGCCGGGCGTTTCGCCTGAAACTTCCTCACCACAGATGACTCTGAAGCTTCAAAATTGGCAACAATTTCACGGACTGAGGGCGAGTGGTTTTCAAAATTTGGCTCTCGCCTTAGCGCTGCGCACATTCGGTTTCAAAAATTGCAACAAGAGTTTCACGGACTGAGGGCAGTTCCTTTTCAAAATGTGGCTCTCGCCGTAGCGCGGCGCACACTCGTTTTAAACATTTGCAAGAGTTTCACGGATTGAGGGCGGTTCCTTTTCAAAATGTGGCTCTCGCCTTAGCGCCGCGTACCTTCGTTCACAAAACTCTCAAGAGTGTCACGGATTCCCATCATCAGTGTACCAAAAACGGTGTTTCGGAAGGATTCAGGAATATACGGGTGCAACAGCTACGTTAATTCTCTGTGTTGAGGTCCAAGGAATGGCGTTCCGGCACCATTCAGGATCGTCAAAACGCAACAGTCAGGTTGATCCGTGGCGTTGGAATCCCGAGAACGATGTTCTGGCATGCTTCGGGGACTTCAAACGGGTGTCTTCCAACGAGGCAGTTCCCTCAATAGAAGTGAACCGTCAGGGGCCTGTGAAGAGGGAGCTTGCAGGGAGGCTTTACTCCAACATCGTTGATGAATCTTGGGTTTACACTGGTCCTCCTCCACCTCCTCGGGGGGAGGGGGCGAAGGACCGACGCGTGCGAGTGATGAAGCGCCGCTGCCCTCGTCTTCTGTCGGAGGCGAGCCCAGGGGGGAAGCGAGAAGGAGCGGGCCTTCTCAGAGAGCTCGGAAGTCCCCCGGGCCTTCTGAGGAATGTCCTGAGCCTTCCCCGAAGATACAGAAAACTCATCAGCTCGGAAGGCGCGAGGGATTCTCAGAACCCCCGCAGCCTCCTGAGAAGGCCTTCTCCTTCTCGCTTCCCCCCTCGCTTGCCGCCGACTCTCGGTTTCAGCCTCCAGAATACCCGAATCATCCAGACTGCTGTGTTTCGCCCAGACGGCTTGCCGTCTCCAAGCTGCTTCTCCGGGGAAATCAAAGGAGGTCCCCGGGAGGCTGTCGAGAGGTCCGGCGGCCCCGCGCGAGCCGTCTGCGCCCTCGCTGCCTGCCTGCCAGCGCTGGCCACACTCCTCTTCACGCTGCCTCGCCGCTGCCCCTGGGCCGGACGGCACCCGCAGAGCATCGGCCGATCTGGGGGAGATCGAGCTCGGAAACAGTTTTTTCGGTCTGCGGGTCGAGAGCGAGCCTCTTCCGGTTGAGAGCTAGGCGGGCCGCGCCAAGCACCCAGAGCTCGGAAACAGCCGAGGGGTCTGAACTGGTTGGAACTCCCGAGAATCAGTCAGGAGGGGGGCACGAGGCCAAATCCACTCAAAGTCGGTCCCTGCCGGCTCTGACTGCAACAGGATGTCTGATGTCCTCGAAGCAGTAAAGTCGGTCCCTGGACCCCCAGGGTCCAGCCGGTGCAGTCCTTCACCCCGGATCCGCTGTGCACAGTCCCAGGGCCCGAAAGCGGCTCTGGGAGGCCGAAAAAGACAAAAGGCCTCCTCCAAGTCAGAACCTCGAAAATGCCCCCGCCATTCCTGCTGGCCAGGACCAGTGCTGGGCCATCTCAGACCCCGAGACGGCTCCAAAATCTGGCCACTGAGTTCCTGACAGCTGCCCTCGTCCAGGAGCAGCTCGGCGACAAAGTTCGCGGGCTGGTCGGAAGGAGCCGCGCCCCAGAGCGGCTGCGAGGCCTCGGCTTGCGCTGCTGACGGGTCACGAAGAAGAAAACATGGGTCGCCCAACCTCGCGTTTTCTCACAGTTAGGGGAACAAAAGAATGACTTAAACATAAAACTCGAAGGTCTGCGCGGAGTTCTCGGATCGGCGATGGAGCCCCCTGGCGGCGCCTCTGGCGCCGCCACCGGCGCGCGCCGATCCGAGAAATCCGCGCGGACCTCAGAGTTGTCATCTTTATGTCACTGTGTGTTACCCTAGGAGCGCGAAGCACGATTACTGTTGCGCCCCCGCGCCGCCAAGGGAGGAGGGTCACCCCTGCGGCACAGACCCCGAAGCGTGATGCGCGGTCCTTTACATTCTTGCCCCTGCTGGACCCCCCTCTCTGGCGCGCGAAGCGCGCCAGGGGCGGCGCCGCCAGGGGGGGACCAGCGCCGATCAAAGAAATGCGCTCCGAAAGTTTATGCTTATACCCTTGTTTGGCATTCGAGTGTTATCACCAAGGAGAGAGAACAGCCAACAAGAATTCAGAGTGGACGACCGGTCTGGACTGGCGCGCGACCCGGCGCGGTCAGAGTCAGTCAGGCTGCCACACAGGCCCTCGGAGAGGGTGCCGCACTTCTCAGCACGCAGGCAGTCTCGGGTCGAGGAGGCGAGGAGGAGAAAACGCCAGGAGAAAAGACGAAGGGGTGGAAGAGGTCGAACAGGAGGAAATCATTCCCTAGCTCGCCTAATGTTGCATCGCGCTCCGCGATGCGCGACGCGCAGTTATCTTCGCACCCTCGCGCCCTCGCACCGCTCCCTTGGAGGAGGGCAGTCGCTCTGGACCAGGCCGCGACGCGCGAAGCGCGGTTACCATCAAGCCCCCGCAGGTGACCCATTTGATCGAAGAGGCCGGTGGGGGCGACGGGGAGGAGGAGCTCGAAGGACTGAGCATTTTCTTAGGGTGGAGGGCTCAGGGTGAAATCCGTATGGGCTTTTTGCCCCTCGAAAATCCATCCGTCCTGTGGTTCACCTTCTGCAGATTCAAGCCTCGAAAATCCATCGAAACGGCATTTCAGATTTCACCCTGTGCCCTCCACCCAAAGAAAATGCTCAGAAGGGGGAGGAAGGACGCCAAGGAAGAGGGCGACCAGGATGGGGAGAAGAGGAAAGGAGGGCAGCAGAGGGTGGGACAGGAGATGCCAGGAGGGAGCGAACTGCGGACACGAAGAATAAGGAGGGGCAGCGGAGGAGTTGAGGAGAGGAGAGAAGGAAACAAAAAAAGGGGAGCAGAGTAGAGGCGAGGAGAAGAGATGGGAGAAGAGAGAGGCGAGGGGGTGGGAGGCAAGCTTGGTGCGGTCGCGACACGTCTGACATCCTATTCCTCTATTCCTCCCTCCCATCCCTTCCCATTGCGCTGATGTGTTCTCTATCCGCGGACGCGTGTCTAGCCGACCAGGAACTTCATAGAAGACCTCATCGCGTTACGCACAGTCGAAAGAGGGAAACTTGTGAACCTGCGTGGCCTGGGGGACCTCCGTGGCCTGCGGGGCCTGCGGGGCCTGCGAGACCTGCAGCACCCGTGGGACCCGTGAGGCCCGCGGGACCCGTGGGAACTCCTGGGACTTGGAGACCTGCGAGACCTGCGGAGCACGCGGCACTGGCGGGACCTGCGGGGGCCCCCGTGGGACCTGTGAGACACGCGACACCTCTGGGACCTCGGCAAGGGCTCCCAACTTCGCGCTTCGCGCTGCGCGAAGCGCGAAGTGCGAACAACTTCGCGCTCTCGCGCCGCCTCCCAGGGGAGAAGAGGAGGATGAGGAATCGGAGCCGAACCGCGAAGCGCGAAGCGCGAATAACTTCGCGCCCTCGAGGGCGCCCTTGCTCAGGGACTTGCGGGACCTGTCGGATCCGTGGGACCTCTGGGGCCGCTGGCACCTGCCAGACTGGTGGCACCCGGGGAACCCGCGGGACGACCTGCGCCACCTGTGGCTCCTCTGGGAACCGTGGGGCCTGCGAGTGCGAGGCCTGTGAGATCCAGCAATGGAGCCCGCGCCAGGGCCCGCCGATCCAAAAATGTGGCCCGCGCTGCAGCGAGTACCTTTTCCAAGAAGCACGTGAAAACCCACTTCGCGCAGATCCTGAGGCGGGACGCGGAGGAGGGGGCGGCTACTCTCGGTACATGGTCAGGGGGGGAGAGAGAGAGAGAGAGAGAGAGAGAGCGAGAGAGAGAGAGGCGACTAGCACTCATGATTTGCAGCTGTAAAAGGAACAGGGGGGGGGGGCAGGGGACGGGGGGCGAGGGCAGGGTGCCAGAGGACCAGGACGGGGGGGAGCGCGGGAGGAGCGGGACCCATCTCGCGCGCACGGGGGCCAGCAGGCCCGAGCCCTCCCGCCCCCCCCCCCGCGCTCGCCGAGCCGCCCGGCGCCGGGCCAGCACCGCCCAAGCCGCCCCACGGTGCCCGATCGCCCCCGGACTCTCCGCCGAGCGCCCTCCGCCGGCGCGCGCCCGACGCCCGCCCTCCTCCGCAGGGCGACGCCCGACGCCCGAGCGCCAGATGCCGCCCGCGGGCCCGAGGCCACGACTGGGCCACGCGCAGAGGGGGGGCAGGGGGAGGGCGGAAGGCCTCTCGGAAGCGCTCCAGCCCTCTCAGAAGGCGAGGGCCTCGTCTGTGGGTGTGAGGCCGCCACCTTCTGAGAAGCGGCCTCCTTCTAAGAAGCCTTCCCCCCTCCCCCTACCCCCTGCGGTGAGCAAGGTCTCCCTTTAGCCAACCTCCCCTTATTGAAAACGGCCTCAGACCGAAACCGACGGACCTGGACCCGCAAAAATGACGGCCGCGACGCCCTCTCGCGAACCGAAAACGGCCAATTCGCTAATCGACGTGTCAGGGGAGGAGGCCCATCAACCTCCGAACAACAGGGGCCAAAAAGATTCCAAAAACAAAAACAATGTTCTGAGAACATAAACCCGATATTTGAAAACAGGACGGTCGTAGCCAGAAACGTTCTAAGAACGTTTCGTGCCGAACACAAACGGCTCTTAGAACATGCTTTGGTGGGCCCATAGGCCAGCCAGTACGCTTCGCCACTGCTTGTCTGGACGCCCGAAATGGGTACGGAAAGAATGGGTACAATGCCCAACAGCAGTTCCTCTTCATTTTGAGCCGGATTCGCTGTCCACGCCGCCGCGGCCTGTGCCCATTCGATACAGAAGGCCGCATGCCCAACAGCGGCCGCTGTTGGTTTGGGACAACATTTGTTGTTGGTTCTTCCGTACCCATTTCGGGCGTCCAAAGCTTGACTCTGCGCGCCGCCAGATTGAGGCCGCCGCCGAGCCGGCACTGCCGAGCTCGCCCCACGGAGCCGGGCCGCCCTCGGGCTCCGCCGCCGGGCGCCCGCCGCCGCCGCCGCCGGCGTGCTCCAGCGGGGCGCGCGGCCCCGCGAAGGGGCGGCGGGCTCCGCCCGGCAGCGCGCCGCCGGGCTGCCGCCTGGCCTCCAGCAGCGCCTGGGAGGCGAGGGGCGGCGGCGGCGACGACGACGACGGCGACGACAACGGCGACGACGACGGCGGCGGCGACGGCGGCGACGACAACGAGGACGACAAACGACGACGACGACGACGACGACGACGACGGCGGCGGCGGCGGCGGCGGCGACGGACGGCGACGGCGGCGACGGCGACGGCGACGGCGGGGACGGCACCTCTATTACCCCCACCCATTCCTCCTCTTCCACCTCCTCCCCTCAAGAGGCTTCCAAGACACCATAGGGAACGCCAAAAGGTGTTCCAGGAAAGCCGAAATCAATCAAAAACCTAGGCGTGGGAATACATGCATACATACATACATACATACATGCATACATACATACATGCATACATACCTGCAAGCATGCATGCATGCACGCACGCATGCACGCATGCATGCATGCCATACATACATACATGCATACATTCATACATGCATACATACATACATACATGCATGCATGCATGCATGCATGCATGCATGCATGCATAACTACCTATCTACCTACCTACCTACCTACCTACCTACCTACCTACATACATACATACATACATACTTACATACATACATACATACATACATACATACATACATACATACATACGTTTATATACATATACATGCATACACACACATACACATGAACCTATATATACATACATACATACATACATACATACATACATACATACATATATACATGCATGCATGCATACATATATACATACATACATGCATCCATACATACATACATGCATACATGCATGCATGCATGCATGCATGCATGCATACATACATGCATACATGCATACATACATACATGCATACATACATACATACATACATACATGCACGCGTGCATGCATGCATGCATGCATGCATGCATGCATGCATACGCACATACATACATATCTACATACATGCATACATACATACATACATGCATACATACATGCATGTATGCATGCATGCATACATACATGCATGCATACATACATACATGCATGCATGCATACATGCATGCATGTACATACATTTACATACATGTGTACACATGTATATACGTTCACATACATATAAATATATACATACATATACATATACTTGTACATACATATATATATATATATATATATATATATATATGTGTGTGTATATATATATAAATACATACATAAATATGTGTTGCACTTCTTGGACTTCTCCGCTCAAGATAATTCCAAGAGGACCGCGGAGAAATTCCAAGAGGGCCCGAAGAGTTTTGGTTAGTGGGCAATACAGCCCACGAGATCCTCCAAAGTCTTCCAGACGGCCCCAAAGAGGGCCCCAACCAAGAGAGCCAACAAACGCCCCCGCCGGCCGAGAAGGGCCCAAAGCCGCCCACGACGGCACCAAGATGGCACAAGAGGGCCAGCAGAGGGCCGCAAGAGGGCCCAGGTAAGTCCTAAGGCCTGATTGGGAGCGTTTTGGCCCGTCTTGGATGCTCTGCGGACCAGCCACAAAGGTCAAGTCAGCCCAGAAGGCCTCCAAGAGGCCCCCAGGACGCCCCCACAGGCCCCAGAGAGGTTTCCGAGAGGCCCAGAGACCCCAAGAGGCCTCGAAGAGGCAGTCGGTCATCGGCCCAGGCATGATGGCAGGATGGACTGAAAGCCAGTAGAGCAGTCGTGTCGGTGGGCAGTCTTGGCGCCCTCACAAGCATTTATGCCAAAGATGCTGAACTTTTCTAACACATTGCTCTCACATTAAGCAGCGCACATCTGTCTTGAAAGCTACCCAACCCGAAGTCAAACGAACGAGGGATAAATAGATTCCAAACTGTGGTCGTCGCGCTGGCGCCATGCACATTCGTCCTACAAGCTTTTAACGCCTGCGCGGATGCACTGCATTTGAGTTTCAAAATTGAGCTGACGATCGGTCTTTCAACAGACAATGCACGAAGCCACAACATGCGCAACAGCTACACGGATTGCGAGCGACTCATGTTCAGGATGGGGCTGTCGCTGGGACCTAGCCAGCTACACCGATGGGGGGAGGCTCCCTTTCGAAAATGGGATGATCGCTTGAAACGCATTCGAACATAGTGATCCCACACATTGACATGACTCAGGGCTACAAGAAAAAGAGGAGGGGGGCTACTTGTCCAAGCGTGTTTCTCGTTTGAATGGCAGCTACATGGGGCGCGCGGCCCTCGAGGGGGCGCTTCCCGCACCGAAAAGAAGCAGGCGTGGGGGCAGAATGAAGAGGGGACCCTGGACTGGAGGGTGTATTGCAATTTCGTTGATGCATCTTGAGCTTCTCTCAGTCGTCATTATCCTTGTCTTCATCTTCCTTCATTCCAAGATCATCCTCATCATCATCATCATCAGCAGCATCATCTTCATAAGTATCATTATTATCATCATCACCAGCAGCCGCAGGATCATCATGCTCCTGCTCGTCCTGAGGGCGATGGTTCGGACGACAATGTGTGAAGGTGAACATTTCACCAAAACGTCTTGCGTTTTGCGCCCCCTTCGAAACACGTCGCTCGAAAGATCCCACTAAGGGCTCAGATCATTACATGCGCACTTGATGGACAGATTTGTCAACCGAACATACAAATCCAAAGTTCTGTCAAACGAACACAGAAATGCAGCACCGCATCGTGGAAGCTGGACCCTCCTCTCCGCAGACTCCGGTAGTCTTGCCCTCCGCGCGAAGGATATTTTGGCCCGCCGCCCAGGCCTCCCACCCAAGCGACGCTGTCGATGTGCACAAACGCGGACGTTTGTGCTCAGTCTCGACGCCAGCACCATCACCAGATCCCACGAAACCAGGATGACCGTCCGAGTTGACACTTCCGAACATCAAAGTTTGCGTCACTACCCCAAAATGGTTCGATACAAACGGCTTCCCCGCACGCGCGCAAGAATCGCATGTCACAAACTGGATGTACGACCACGTTGGTCCACCCCGACGCAGCATGATCACGCCCGCCAAAAACCGCCAGAAAACCTGGCCAAATATTTTGCACTCTACGAATACAGCCGCGTTCCAACCTTCCATATGGCCGCATGCACCACAAAACCAACGAAGAACGGGCCACCCGACGAAACCTGCGCGCACCAATTGTGCGCAGCTCATATGGATCAGAAAGAAAACGAGACGCCAGGGTTACAACAATCGGCTCGCGAACGCGGGGCAATACGTAGCAGGCAGTGGTACACATGCTGTGCCAAAGATGCCGTCTGAGAACAACTCATAAATCAAGCATGTACCTCTGAACTTTTCCAAATGGCAAAGACGTCAGAAGGACACACACACACACTGAAGCAACTGAATTCATAAACATGTACAAATCCACGAACACACAGACACACAGACACATACACACACACACACACACACACACACACACACACACACACAAACAAACAAACAAACAAACAAACAAACAAACTAACAAACAAACAAACAAACAAACAAACACACGTTGGCGGTCGCGGCCTCGCGCGCAGCGACGAGGCGGAGTAACTCGCAGAGCGGTGGGCGCGGGCTCGCGCGGCCCAGCCCTCTGGCGGGATCGCTCTGGATCGCCGCGTGCACACAGACACGCACACACACACACACACACACACACACACACATTCACCTCCTGGCGTTGCGACCACGCGCGCGGCGGCGCGCGTAGACAGTCGAAGGGAGCGAGCCCGCGGCCGGGCCAGCTCACGCCGAGGGTGGACCAGGGGCCCCTCACACTTTCGACGGTCGCGGCCTCGCGCGCTACGGCGAGGCGGAGCAAGTCGAGCAGTCGGAGGCGAGCGAGCGCGCGAGGCCGGACCGTCAGAAGCAGAACCGCTTTGGATCGACTGCACACTCGAGCGTCAGCGGCCAAGAACAACGTCAAGAACAGTCGCCAGCGCGTGCGCCGGAAGCAAAGTGAAGTGGCCAGCCCCTCACGAGGCAGCCAGCGGCAGCAGCGGCGGCCTGCTGGCGGGAGCCAGGCGAACGCAGGGCGAACGGCACCGGGGCTGGGCCAGCGGGGCAGGGCGGCGCGCAGCAGGCTGGGAAGGGCGGAGGCGGTGGCGAACAAGGAGCACGTCAAAGTTAGGCGGGTGGTAGGGCAGCCGGAGGCCGCGCCCGAAGGGAGGCGGCTCTGGCGGGGAAGCCAACGCGGACAGCGGAACGCCAGCAGGCGGGACCCGCGCGCCAATGCGACGGACACAGAGGGCTCATCCTTTGGATCACCAAAGGCGGCAAAAGGAGGGGGAAACAACACGCGACGCCGGAGGGCGCCAGTGAGCGGAAGCAAGCAGCGATGGCGGAGCGGCGGCGCCGACGGAGCGCTGGGGCAAGGCGGCGACCCAGGCGGGCACGAACCACCAGAGGCGGCGGAGGCGCGGAAGGAGGCGAGGCCGACGCGGCACTGGACGAGGAAGTCAGACTGCCAGTCGGATTGCGGCAACCGCAGCGGCGCGGCGAAAGCTAGCCACGAGGTCCTCCGCCACCTCAGCGCTGCGGCCTTAATCACAGAGAGCAGGGCACACAAGGGCAAATGGGCCTCGAGGGCACCCGACACGGCGGACGCTGGAATCCTCGGGGCGAAGGCGCCGACGCGATCATCACAGCGAGCCCGCGCTGGCGATGGAACGAGGGCAAACAGAAAAGACGCCGCCCTGGAAGCCCAGACAGGAACTCGCAGCGGGAGCGGGCGCAGCCTGCAGGCCGCGGGGCCCCGGGCGGGTCGCCCCAGGGAAGGCGGGGGGCGCTGGGGGCCCCAGGGGGCGCGGGGGGCCCGGGCGAAATCCAAAAAAAAACAAAAACAAAAAAAATCGCGCAGAAGGGAGGGGCAACAGCGAGGCCAGCGCCGAGGGCGGGCAGGTCTGCACCAACGGCAGCCGCGCTGCCGCAGAGGCGGGAGGCAGCCAGGGACGCACAGCTTGAAGCCGCGGCGCCACTCGTTACCCGCAGCCCGAAAGGCGCCCTCGACCTGCCCGCCCGCGGGGCCGCACGCAGGAGGCGCAGCGCGCGCCCCAATCGAGGTGATGTTCGGGGCGGGGCGATTGACATCATCTGCGTCGAACCCATCGTCGGGCGCGTCGGCGTCGTCTGCGCGGAACCAGTTGACGGGGCGGGACGGCGCGGCAAACGGCCGCGACGGGCTGGCGGGCGGGTCCAGGCCGCAGCATCGATGCTCTCGACGCAGAACGAAAGCAGGCCTGCCGCTGCAGCGGCACCCCACAAACAGTCCAGCGGGTTGACGGGGGTTCGAAGGAGGGCCGCTAGCGGGCACAATTAGGACATACGACGAAGTGACGCGGCGGCGCGCGGTCGGGCATGGACCATTGGCCGCGGCAGCCAAGGCACTTGATGACCGTTAGGGGACCGGGCGCGTGTCAGGAACGGAAGAAAAGGGCAGCATGACTGCGAATGCGAAAGTGAAGGCAGAGCTGCTCGGCGCGCCGCAATGGCCGGAACTGGGGGGACACCCGTTGCTGGCCCAGCGCGGCGCGCTGCCCGAATGAACTGCGCGCTCGCATGCGGCGACAGTGGCGGCCCCGAGCTCGCCACCGACACGGGGGAAGCGGAAGAAGTCCTGGGGGCCCACCGCCGGGCGCGGGGCGCCGCGACCTCGCGGGATCGCCCACGGCCCCCCGCATCAGACGCGTAGAGAAAGCCCCAGCGGCTGCAGCATCCACGCAGAGCTGAGATGGCCCGCGCGAGGGAAGCCCATGCAGCATCCACGCAACGTTGAGATGGCCCGCGCGAGGGAAGCCCACGCCCACGCCAACGCCCACACCCGCGCCCACGCCCACACCCACGCCCACACCCAAAAACACACCCAAATCCACACCCAAAAACACACACACACACACACACACACACACACACACACACACACACACACACACACACACACACACACACACACACACACACACACGCACGCACGCACACGCACACACACGCACGCACGCACGCACGCACACACACACACACACACACACACACACACACACACACACACACACACACACACACACACACACACACACACACACACACACACACACACACACACACACACACACACACACACACACACACACACACACACACACACACACACACACACACACACACACACACACACACACACACACACACACACACACACACACACACACACACACACACACACACACACACACACACACACACACACACACACACACACACACACACACACACACACTTTTCCTTACCAGCGCGAGAAGGTCGCCCCGTGGCTTAGGAGGAAAGAGGAGAGCAGCAGGGGAAGGGAGGGGAATAAGAGGAGAAGGAAGCAGCAAAAGCAGCAGTGCTCAGCCGGGCTGCGGCTTTGCGCAGCCCGGCGCCGCGCGGCTAGTCTGCGGCGCCCAGCAGCTCGGCGAGCTCGAGGAGCTGCGCCGCAGCCAGGCGCGCCACCTGCCGCGCCACCCGGCCGCGGGCCGCGGGCAGGCGCTGGCCCTCCGGCAGGCCGAGGTGGCGCGCGGCGACCCTGACAGGCGCCCAGCCGCGCTGGAAGGTGGCGCACACCGCCTCGCGCAGCCCCTCGGCAGCCTCCGCGGCCGCCGCGTCCGCGGCCGCAGCCAAGGCCACCGCCTGCGCGGCCTCCGCGGCGCGGTGAGCCGCCGCCGCGCGCGCTGCCGCCGCGGCGCCCGGGGCGGCCCCGGCGGCCGCGCCTCCAAGCCCGCGCGCCCCCCGCGGGCAGGGTCGCCGCCTGCAGGGCGTCGAGTCTGGCGGCTTCTTCCTCCTCCGCCGCCAGGTCAGCCCAGAGCCGCCGCTGCACCGGCTCTGCCCCCGGCGCTACCGCTCCCGGCGGCGCCGCCGGCGGAGCCCCCGCCCCCGGCGCTGCCGTCGCAAGCGGAGCAGCCGTCGGGGCCCCCGCTCCCGGCGCTGCCGCCGCAGGCGGAGCAGCCGTCGGAGCCCCCGCTCCTGGCGCTGCCGCCGCAGGCGGAGCGGCCGTCGGAGCCTCTGCTGCGGAGTCCGTCTGGCCCCGCGCCCGCGGCGGGGTAGCGACGGCGGCGGCCGCAGCCGCGCGCCTCTCCGCCTGCCCCCCGACCACCAGCCCCGCGGAACTCGCCTCGCCCCGCGGGGTGGCCGGGGCAGAGGAGCCCAGTGCGCCTGCCGCGTCCGGCTGGCCTGCGAGCTGCGCCCAGTTGAGCCCATCATACTCGCGCTCGACGGGGTGCTCGCCTGCGTCTAGCAGGAGCGCCGGCGGCCCTCCCAGCGGAGGAGGCCAGCAGCCACCGCCTCGGCCAGGACGCCCTCCGCGACCCCCTCGGCCGCGAAGCCCCAGCCGCTCGCCCTGAGCGCCGCCGCTACCGCCTCCGCGGGGGGCGCCGCGGGGGGCGCCGCCTGCGGGCTCCTCGGGCCCGTCGCCCGCGGCGCGCCGCCCGCGCCGTCGCCCGCCGCGGTGGCCGCGCCGCCGCCGGGCCCTGCCCCCGGCGCTGCCGCTGCCAGCGGAGCTGCCGTCGGAGCCCCAGCTCCCAGCGCTGCCAACGCAGGCGGAGCCGCCTTCGGGGCCCCTGCTCCCGGCAGAGCCGCCGCGGGAGCCCGCGGCGCCGCCCCCGGGGAGCCGCTCTCGAAGCCGCTGGAGCTGCTGCCACTGCAGGCCGGGGCAGCCGTCGCCGCCGCCGCCGCGCCTGGCCCTGCAAGAAGCGCCCCTTCCGCGGGGAGTGCCCGCGTGCGGCTTCGGCTTCGGCTGGGCGCCCGCGCGGGGAAGTAGCTGGAATCGCCGCTGCGGGAGCGCTGGCCGGGGGGGCTCGCTCGCGGCTCGTCGCCGCCCGCCGCGGAGCAGCGCGTGTCGGCTGCCTCGGCAGGCTTTGGTGCGCCCGTCCTGCCCTGGGGGGCTGGGGAGCGGCCGCGCGCGTGGCTGCTCCGGCGGGTGCGGCGCAGGCGGGCCGCCCGCTCGCTCGGGCTGCGCTCCCGGCGCGGGCGACCCGCC